TACACACTGGACCTTTAAGAGAGCCTGTTTCTGTTCAGAGGTAACCACTTAAACAGCACTTTGCCAGAAAATAATGATTTTAATAGGTGTCATACAAAAAATAGAAAGACATTTTACATACTATTTACAGGGATTTCCAAATGAAATCAGTAAAATTGTTGACCCACATTAATAACCAGTAAATCTGATTGCAATGCAGTAAACATGATCATGCTATACAGTGTATCTGTATACAAGGTACTTCGCTGGGCTTTGTTTCGCATTTTGTTGTAGTAAGACCGGCAATACAGATGTAACAGTGAATGTCTGTGTCCATTTACTTTACACAAAGTCTCATCTCTGCATCCACATCGGGGACATTATGGGACTTGACTGTGGAGGCTGTAGTGTGAATTTTTTCAGTGGTTAATTATATGTGATTAAGAAATTGGCATGTTTAAAATACTAGTTATGATACTTTTCATTGAGGCAAATAAAAGGTTCATAACTTCATGTAAAATTATAATTTTTCCTCAGTCAATCAATAACATTTAAAGAATTAAATTATCATAGTGGCACCCTCCATATGCTGTGTAACTGCAGTGGTCACGTTAACATACACTGGTTGTTTGTGGTGAATGGTAGGTATTTTAGTCCATGAATCGAGACTCTTAGTGCCTTGGAGGCCCACCCCGACCTCTTCCTCTCCCAGGCCCAGGTTGAGGCCCCCTGGCATTTCCAGGAGGCTCTTTTCTTTGCCCTGGGGCACGGGTCACTGGAGCTCTGGGGTTCGGGGCAGCCAGGGACACATCCTTTTGCAGATTAACCCCTTTTGCCGCTGCACCTGGCTTCATTTTGGGAGACTTGCTGCCCTTCTCAATTACAACATCTGAGAAGACAGATGGAGAGCAAAAAGAGTGGTGAGGACAGTTGGGTGCAAATTAGCCGATAGCATCTGCAATAAAGTAATATGCAAGTGTGTGTGTGTGTACCAGGTGCGGGTGGCTCTTTCTCAGTGGGAGGCGGTATTAGAGACTTGTTTGGCAGCAGGTCCTCCAAGTCTTTCATCACTTGATTAGTACTGTCCTTGTTGTTCCTGCGGTTCTTCTCCTCATCTCGAGCCTTTAAGTGTCCACCAATAAACCAGACAGTCATTTGTTTGATTGAATCTTGAACAAAGGGGAGTTGGAAAAAAAGGGAAACAAGAGGCAGAGCTCGGACATAACAAGAGAAGCTCATACTGACCATTTGCATCTTCTTTTTAAGGTCCATATTTGCTTGTTGGTATGCCTTTGACACTGCATTCAGGTAGTAGATGGCCAGCCTGTTACAGTATTATAATTATCTTAGGTGAAAGTCATTGTTAACACGTTTTATGACTTTACTTTATACAATTACACACACTTATTCAGGCAGTTTAAGATTTAATGTATAACTTGACTATTTTAGGCCAAAAAATCCCCCCTGTGGTAGTATCAAAATGGGAGACAGTAATGAATACCACTAACAGGCTATCAGATGCAACAATCACATAAATTAACCTACATATAGACTGTCAATATATTAGTAATGTCCAGAAGGCATTATAAATTTACAGCAAAAAAAAAAAGATGTAAAAATTTATAAATAACACTGTATTTGAAATTACATTTAAATAATACTTACACCATGAGGAGAACAGCGGGCAGGATGAGTCCAGGGTTGGTCGCGTATGTAAATATGTTCCCTATGAAGGCTGGAAGATCTTTTTCTATAGTCTCCATGATCACATCATACATCTTCTCCTGGCCGCTGGGGAAAAACATGGATCAAATAAATTACACTATGATACAGTTTTAGTATGTTTAAGTATAAATGGGCTTGAGTGACCTGTGAAGGGACTGCAGAGGAAAAGTAGCTTAAAGATTAATCAAACTCATCTATACATCTATGTTCAATATTGTAAACGGGTCCCTTACAAATAAAGCAAATAGAATTAAACAATCTGTGTTTTTGCCTTACAGTACTACTGTCTACTACGGCTGCAACTGTATATATGGTATGACAACCTTACTGCAACCCAGTAGTAATGTAAATGTTCATGTTGAAGTTTTAATGAACAGAACTTAAACAGCTCCATTTAAAAAAACTGAAGCTGGTGCTGTCACAAGAAAGTGGCTTAGTGGAGGTACCAGACTAAAACCTACAGCCATGTTAGCGGCTTTTGAGGTTGTAATGCTAATGACAGCTTGCTCAAATGTTCACACTATCAATGCTAACATGGTAGCATGATGTTTATCAGATATAAAATTTAGTATGTCCCTGTTGCTGCCCGATCTGTACCCCCTACCCAATCGGCACTGCACATGTGCAACACTCAACAGAGATGAGAAGGAACAAGATGGCTCACACAGTAGCTACTTTGACCTGGTGGTGGCACTAGAGGATCTATCTTGTGGATACCACAAATTTCATGAGAGTCCATCCAACAGTTGTTGAGAACAACTGACAAACATTCCCATCCACGGAGACGTGTTACCAGCATGGCAAAAACATCATGAGCCTCAAATACTAAAAACAACCAGTGCATTTGGATAAACTGACTCAGGTAGATGCGTTGAGTTTAACTGACTAAAATACTTTTAACCTCCAGAAGGCTAATCATGAATTGTAACAACAATCTAACCTTTCATGTTTTGCTATCAGTAGTATACCCTTTCAGTCCTACTGTCTCCATCTCTTACTGACCTGAAGGGCCCACAGTCGAAGGACGGAGACAAGGTCATGATGGTGTAGACAACAGGCAGCAGGCTGAGGAACAGGACGAGCAGCAGCAGGCCCATGTAGAAGTTGTTGGACCGCGAGGCCTTGAAAACACGTTCATGAGGAACGTTACAGCACATCACTGCCCAGCACTGGTAGTACATTGAGCTCAGGAGGCGCAAAACGTTCAGACCCACCAGACCTGGAGCATAAAACGCTCCCATCCTGAAAAAGACAGCAAGGTTACATAATGTATCAACAGCCATTTCTGAACTGATTATTTATATAAATCTACTGAGTATTCTAATTAGTGATTTAAAGCCCCATTATGTAACATTTCTACAAAATAACAGCTTCAAAATCACTTTGATGCTACACTGACTTGTAATAGGGTGAATGGTGCTTCTGTCAATCCCACTCTGCACCCTGTTTTTGCACTGTGTAACTTTTGGTCATAAACCACCAATGATATCACAGAAGTGGATCATAATATATTTTTATGGAGAAAATGTTTTCTGGTTTTCCCTCTGCTGTCCTCTGGCTGCTCCGCCTCAAGTCTCCAGTTTCTAGATAGTTAGCTCACTTAGTTAGCTGTACTGGGAGCACAGAGCAGCAGGGGTGTGTTAGTGTTTTTCAGGCACAGGGTGAGCTGGGTGAGTGGACAGTAGAGGCAGAGGATGGCAGAGGGGAAGAGACCAAAAAAGCTGACAGAGAGCTTTGCAAACTAAAAGTAATCATAACAAATACCCATGTAAAACTGGCCATATTTACAACAGTGGTACCGCACTCTGAAACTGGGGGGGCCCCAAATCGTAAAAAAAACACATAATGTTCCTTTAATGTAATTAGTTTGAGTTACTCTAGCATCAGTCTGGCTCCAATGTCAACCATCAAACAAATAACTCATCTAATTTGAAAAGGCAAGCACTCCACACTTACTATTTTGTTAATAGAGACAGACTCCAGAGAAACATAAGCCCATTAGTCCCATTAGAGAATCACCCCTAACACAAGTAAAGACAGACAATAAAGTCAACCATGCAGATATGGAGTAATTCACCATATCATTCCTTGATTGAAGATAAGCCCCAGCACATTCCCACTGATGTCAAACTCTCCGTATGAAGGCTGGAATCAACACAACAACATGATTAGCATGCTCACCTGAATTAATAAAAACCAGGTTGGTACACTTTGCATTTGCTCCACGTTCTGTGTTTCTTTCTCTCTCTGTAATTAAGTTCTCACTGCAGTGTCCTCTTTCGCTGAATGTTAGGGATCAGCTGTCTTGCCAGATGTCATTGTATGGTATCAGGTTGACGTGGATCCAGCACAAACTGTGCTGTACTCACACAGTGTTCAGTAATAGCTGGATGACATAGTAGCTCCACAATGATGACATAAACACACTGAGCCACAAGACTGCAGATACAAGAGGAACACATGTCTTACATGTCCTATCGTGGTTTACAGCACAGGACATAAAAAATGTGTATGCTACATATAATTAAATTACTTAATTTTACCAAACAAACATACGCACGTAATGTACATGGAGGCTGACACCCCATGCGAGTACTCACAAATCCGGCCTCCAGGTCCCAGCACCAACAGTAGTTTAGGAAG